AGTGAGATGAAGCCTTTCCTGGAAGGTTCGAGAGCAGAGGAAGGTCTGACACGCTGAGTGTTTTAGATTATGTCTTTCCAGGAAGAAAAGACTAATACACTAATAGAAAGCAAGGAGGCAAGGCAAACGGCAAGGGTGGAAAATGTGATTTCTCTGACTGCCACAAGCAATTTGACCGGTGATCAATTTTGGTCTCGACACTTTTCAGCAGGAATTAGCTTGATGGCTTTTTGCTGCTTTTGTTCATTCTTCTTTTGATTGGCTATGGTGGCTATCACCTCTATAAAAGGAATTCTTTCAAGTTGATGTCCTTGAGGACTGCAGGTGCCATATTGCCCCATCTTATATAACATATAGGCACTGACATGCACATACACGTGCGTACAACTCACACAGGCTTGTTTTTATACAATGTTAATATATGGGGATGTATATATATATATATATATATATATATATATATATATATATATATATATATACACACATATATGTATATACAGTCTCAATCGGAACAAACCTTACAATTTTTGTGGTTTTTATATGTATATGGATCTTTCTACTGAATTGGTTTAAACTCAGAGTTTGCACTTGGACTTAAGACTAAAATCCTTTTGCTTTGATTGACCCAATACTTTTTAAAATTATTTTCAATTTTTACCCGATTTTCTCCCCAATTTAGTCGTCTCCAATTCTACCCGCTAGTTAGGACTCCCCCAATCACACACAATACTATCAATGCTAGGAGGGTGAAGGCTAACACAGTAAGTAGTAAGTAAGTAAGTAAAGTTTATTTATATAGCGCTTTTTACAACAGGTGTTGTCACAAAGCAGCTTTACAAGGAAATGAGCATTACAAAAAGAAATCCGTGTCCAAGCCCCCATGAGTAAGCCAGTGGCGACAGTGGCAAGGAAAAACTCCCTAAGGTAAACAGGAAGAAACCTTGAGAGGAACCAGGACTCAGAAGGGGAACCCATCCTCCTCTGGTCGACACCGGATAGTAAACATTGTTAGTATAAAGTATTATAGTACAAAAACAGGGTAAAGCTGAAGGAAACAATTAATTTGAATAGTTTAGTTCATGCTGCAGCAGCGGCAGCAGCAGCAGCATCAGTGGGGTCAGGTTGTGGGGGTGAGGTTTGCACGGTGAGCAGTGGCACCCGATCAAGGCAGCAGAGGCAGCAGCATCAGCATCAGGATGGGCAGCTGTTCAACTCGGCAAAGGAAAGAGAGGAAAAAACACACAGTCAGTTCTACAATGGGTGATTGATTAATTTGAATTAGTTTGAATGATTGATTGGTTCAAGTGAATAATTTTGAATAGTTCATGTAGCAACAGCAGTAGTATCAGTGGGGTCAGGTTGTGAGGGTGAGGTTTGCACGGCGTTGTACAGCAGGACGCACAGGATGGGCAGCTGTTCAACTCGGCGAAGAAAAGAAAGGAAAACACACAGAGAGGAAAACACACAGAGTCAGTTCTGTAATGGGTGACTGATCACAAATTACAGTGTTAGCAGAGACTCTGGCAGGTATAGAACTAACAGGGAAAACTAATTACCAAAGGCTTGACTATACAAGTAAGTTTTTAGCTTAGACTTAAACACTGAGGCTGTGTCTGAGTCCCGAACATTAACAGGAAGACTATTCCAAAGCTGGGGGGCTTTGTATGAGAAAGCTCTGCCCCCTGACGTTACCTTTTTAATTCTGGGTACTAATATTAAGCCAGTCAGATTTTAGGACCGGAAATATCTGTTTTATAAATATAGTTTTTTACTGTGGCATGTAACATCTCCCGTATTTACTCTATTATTATATTTACTATAAGTGCCTATATGTGATAAGAATTTTCTAAGCCTAAGTGTACCCTCAGCAACCAAAAAAAAAAAATATTTTGCCCTTTTAACTTTGTAAATGTGTAGATTTTGCAAAAAAAAGTGCTTTTTTAAGTCAGGTACACAGTCAAAACAGGGATTCTTTAGTAAAGGCTATGGTCATGTATAGAAACATGACCACGACAAGTCAAAAAGCAATTTGAATGCTTAGCTATGTGCTAAAATTGTTGTTATTGTTGTCATTAGTGTTATTATTATTATTAATATTATTATTATGCATAATATACATTTTAGAAATGGTTCTATATAGCACTGAAGTGTTCCTTTATTGTCACAAGCTTATAACCTTTTGTTTGGTATTATATACCCTTTTATACACTATACAGAAGGGGATCTTCAAGGTTCTGTAGAAAAGGCTGTACTGTACTACTGTTACAGTACGAACCACCTTTCTTTGGTAGTTTATAGCACCCTTTTTCTCTGGTCAGGACATTTTTGGCCTGAAATGGAATAAATACAATCACACAGGCACACACTTGGTAAAACCACTAACAGCAGAGACTTTGTGTTATTCTAGCACTGGGATCAGGTGTGAGTGTTATGTGGAGAGGGAGAAGGAGCCTCGGTAAGGCAACCAGGTGTCATCTTATACAAACATCTCACGCATGGAATTGCTTTCAGGAGCAATCTGCCAGAGATCAAGACACAGACTCCATGTTTCCAACTATAGAAGGTGCAAATTAGGCCACATTAAACCATTGCACATGATGAGCAGTATCACGTCTGTCTCCACTGTTTCATCTCCACAGCGGCATTGCTTTCATTTCCAAATCAGCATGCAGGCTGAAGGATTTAGTAATTGCTGTGTGGTTTGCCTACAGATCAATTGTTTTTTTCTTCTTAATGAGCAATTAATTGATTGCATAATTAGCACTACTAAGGTGGAATGATCTTGATTTGATCTTAAAAGCCAATGATCAGAAGCGTCAGCAAGAACAGTCTGTCCACTGCTACATAAAGAGGGGTATTAGAGTAGGGTTGCAGTACATAAACCTCACGTTACAAAGATGAATGACCATTTGGGAATTCAGTGGTGCAAAAACCATCACAGGTCAAGTCCTTCACCATATTCTCCATATACACCAAGAGAAACAATATAGGCCTGAATGCCTGACCCCTACAGTGAGGGGGTCAGGTGGCTCTGTTATGCTATGTAGGGCATTTTGCTGGTATGGTTTGAGTCCACTTCTCCCCATAGATGGAACAGTCTCTGTAAATCTATACAAAGTTATTCTTAGAGATCACCTTTCTCCTATGATGAAACATTTCTGTCTCGATGGGGATGGTCTCTTCTAAGATGACAATGCCCCCATTTACAGGGCACAAGGGGTCAATTAATGGTTTTATGAGTGTGAAAACGCTGTCATTTATATGCCATGGCCTTCACAGTCATCTGATCTCAACTCAGTTGAATGTCCATGGGACATTTTGGACTCCTGTGTTAGACAGTGCTTTCCCAAACACTACTTGAGGGAATATCTTTTGGAAGAATGATATTCCGTCCCTCCAGTAAAGTTCCAGAGCCTTGTACCGTCTACACCAAGGTGCATTGAAGCTGCTCTGGTGGATCATGGTAGCCCAAAACCTTATTAAGGCACCTTATGTTGGTTTTGTCACCTTTCTGTATTTTGTTAGAATTTGAATTTGATTAAAGTTATTGTTATGTACTGTTATGTCCAATGAACTTGTAGATACAGAATGCGCTTAATTAATTATGCAATAATGTGATTACATAAGCTCCCTGGACAAAAAATTAATCACCTTGTGTGTTTAAGGAGGTATCAACTTTAGGCTTCTGCAGATGGCATTGCATGAGGATGATCGGGCTATAAATACCTGTGGGGTGTGCGATGGGATTCATAGATTGAGAAAAGGTGGTACAGTGCAGTGAATGTCTCGTTCAATGTGTGGAAAATGGGTCGCAGAGCAGCTGTGCCAAAGGCTGAATTTGCAGTAGGAGGCTCTGTAATGTTCTGAGGATGTTTTAATTATGCGGAAATGGGTCCTCTGGTTGGGGTGAAAGTAAATTTGAACCACAGTACCTACATTGAGCTGCTGGACAACCAGGTTTTGCCTTTTGCTCATCATCTTACTGAGGAACATAACATTCTTATCCCTGTATTCCAAGATGACAATTCCCGCATTCACAGGCCTGCAAATGTGACTGATTTGCATGATGAACATTCAGGAACATTTACACATCAGGACTGGCCCACAAAATCTGTGGTTTTTAAGCCTTAATAAATGGTTCTGTCCAAGCATGTGCAAGTTTTTAAGGGCCGAAAAGTTCTATAACTTCCATTGCAGTGAGGTCTTGCTGGCAAATGACACACAAACAGACTAGTCTCCTGAAAATAAATTGTGGGACTACCTGAAACAACATGTAAGATGCTAGGGAAGGCATCCACAAAATCTGGCTGAACTGTACAATTCTTTGATGCAAGAGTAGCTGAATATTGATGTCGCCTACATTTAGAAACTTGTCCAGTCAAGGCCAAATTGAATCACAGCTGTTATTCTTGCTTTTGCAGGCATTACACACTATTAGGTACATTTCAGTTATATGTGACTAATTCTTTGTCTGGTGAGCTTATAATTCAATTGTGTAATGTAAATCAAATGAATGGCAAAACAACAATACCAGCTGTGAATCCCTAGGGGTTAACCTATTGTCATTTTGTGAACAGTAGGAGAAATTTCACCAGTGTTCCAAGTTTCATGCTGTCAAGAATAAGATTTTTCTCCACATCTGATTGCCGTTCTAGGACAAGTTCTTGCATTTCACCTCCTAATCAGCACAATTCTACAGACAGAACAGAGCTGACTCAAGATCAGGTCTTTTATTCTGAAGTCTGTTTGTAGGCTTCATTATACTTTGTTTCTCTGTTTGTCAAAAGTCTGAAAAATCACTGGGTTTGCAGTAATGAGCTTCCACTTCTCCCTGTAGGATTAGATAAAAAGGCCGTAGCTTTATTTTTCCCGCTGTGTTGTAGTCATTAAAATGCACAGAACACAATGCTCTTCTTCCAATACACATAGAGGGGGAACATGCGGAAAAGCTCCAGATATCTAAACTACAAGCGCTGTTTTGTTTTTGTTTTTTTCAGGATAGTGCGACCATGCAGTTTTGCGCCAATAAGCTGGACAAGAAAGACTTTTTTGGCAAGTCGGACCCCTTCATGGTATTCTACAGAAGTAATGAAGATGGAACGTAAGTTTGTTTTTCTATTGGAACACATAAAATCCACTAGAAAGACATTTACAGGAGCACTCCAGCATTTATGAGCCTAATTTCTCTCTGCTGCGTCTGTAGCATACGGTCGATTTCCATGGACAATCATTTCAGCATTTTTGCCTGTGCTTAGAAGAGAACAGAAACAGTTGACTGGAAACTCATTCATAATAGAAGCCAGTGCACAGCTGCTGAATTCCATTAAGAAATGTTTAAAATACTGACTATATAAAGCAAATTAGACAGTCTGATGATACGTGTTTGAGATGTTACAAATAATGCTTTTTTCCTAACTAAAGTACCAGTTGATAAGCAGCGCCATGCTCTGTGCTTTTGTATGCGCTAAAGTTTCTACTTTAGCACATACAAAAATAGAAAATGGACACATTTATAAGACAATATTTGCTTGCGTCGAGTCCTGTGTAAAAATCCAATGAAAAAGGTCAATTTTTGCATATCTGCCTGCTGTTCAACCTGCACAGCTCAACAGCCGCATATCTAGATCTCATCACCATGTTTAAAAGTTCAGTTTTTATGTACTAGTGTCTTGCTCTGGTTTGCATGAAATAAATCAATAAACAAATGTTTTTAAATCAGCAGTAAAGAGTTTTTACCATTGGTGGGAACAGTTACCACATTAATTGGGTTAACCGTCACTAGGCCCAGGCCTAATTTGACCTGCTGACCATTTGGTTAGATTCTGAAAAAGCCAAACCCTAAATATACCAGACATATTACATACTAAGGATTATTATTCAGTAACTACAGGGACTTCAGTGCAAACAGGTTGAACTATTCTTAGGTCACAGAAGTGTGTAATAGAACTTTGGGCCCACTGGACATTTAAGGGGTTAAACTGCAAAGTATTGGAAAAAAAGCTAAGCTGAACCTGATGTTGTGACAGTTTTATGGATCTGTAATGCAAAGGGCTGCTACTTTAGCATGGGAAGGAATTACCAAAATGAATATACATTTGATACAACAGCTCGGGCTGCTTTGCTTTACTTAGAAATGACATAAATGCAATAGAACACTCAAGGTTGTGTTAGCGCCAAAAACATAGTGCAACCTTCAAATCAAATTCAATGTTTTTTCAAAACTCGTGACATTGGGATCTCTTGACATTGGGAAGGAAAAAATAATTTGAGTAGCATCGACAATGATTTTTTTCTTTTAAGCACTGCAACTAGAAGCTACACAACTAGTCAACAGAAAAACAGGCATGAACAGAATTGGAAACACAGCTATAAACAGTTATTGGACTGTACTAAACTCACTATCATTCCCCAGTTTTTAGCAATGTTCCTGCATAAATCTTCTTTAACCTCTTCATTTTTATAGGTTGTTGCTTTTGTGCTCTGCTGTGAACAAGATGAACTGTTATCTAACATTAAAAGTCTTAGGAGAAAGCTGTTCTTATGAATATATTTACGAGGCATTCTGGTAGCAAATGGTGATCAGACAAAACCTGTACTGAAGAATTTGTAGTGTTTTGTATAAATGTTGGAAACAATGAAATTTAGCAACTTTCCATTGGCTTTTAGCATAATTAGAGTTTTCTGCTTTTCTCTAAGTACAGTGATACAGATCAAATGTATTGTATGTGGTAATCAACAGTATGATATAGATGCAGCAGTTGGAGATTAAGTTGAAAAATGCTGGAATTTCTTTAAACATTTGAAGCCTAGCTAACAATAATGCTTAGTTCACGCAAGGGCTTTTATCTAAGTATGATTTAAGACTGAACACATTTTAAACATACATTTTCTTTTAGTTTCCATTTGCCTGACCAGTATCAGAACAAATATCTTTCAACTCAAACCCACCAGGCAAGTTGGTAAATATCAACAATCGCTTCACATCACTGCTAGGAATCCACAGCTAGTACATCACTTGGGGAGAAAGAACAAAGTGAAGCCCAGCAACGTTTCATGTTTTCAGCAGCTTTGGGAAAAGCAGGGACCCAAGGCTGAATCAGACATCTCCGCAAAAACAGTGCATTTCAAAAGAACGCTAGAGCAGCACTTCTGAGCCCATTCGCCTCCATCATGCTCTTACTCTGAGAATGACAAAGTATACACAACAGCCTTGTAGAAAGTCATAGGTTGTTAATGGATCTCTCTTTTTGAGGAAAGAAACAAAACACATTCTTCAGACCCAGCTTTAGCCAAAGTGCACTTCATCACAGCCTGCACTCATCACACACCTCCAGAGTGTGCGGTTTGGAGAGTTGGCCAATTTTAGTCTTTTAAAATCATGAGGTAGAACATTTCGTTGACAGATGAAAAGAAAAAAATAAAAACTGAAGTGTTTTAACCCCTTGACAGGCCAGGGCTACTGGATAATAAACCTTAGTATGTGATAAGCCTGGGATTTTAAGGGGTTAATGGTCCTCTGAAACACTGGTCCAATTAAGAAGTGCCTAATACCAAACAGAAAAGATCCCAGACTGCTATTTTTGTTCCCTGGGAAAGTAAGTGAAATGTCCTGAAGGAAAAAAGCTTGGGAATTTTGTAGTATCTCATTGGTGAAACACCTTTTTACCAGGGTTAGCAGATCAGTCTAGGTCGGATCTGAGTAGTTTAATGAATCTTCCTTTCCTACCTGCCTTCCTTGAATTTTGCCTGATCTGTAGCGCTCACTAGAAATGTTGGCAGATTTGACAAAAATGTGGATCTACATGATAACCAGACCAAAGATCAGAGCAAAATCTATGAAAGCAGACAGGAAATAAAGTTGAAATCAACTATTTGGATGCAGTGCTAGTTAAATAGCAAGAAGCATGCAGTGAGATTGCGGATAAACATCAAGCTGATGCTCATTTATAGATCTAATCATATAGAACTCATTTAATAAAACTTTCAACATCATTTCATGAATTTATCATGTTTTTTGCAGCTAACAAACTCTTTATAACATGTTGTTTTTCAGCTGAAAGGTCTGAAGTGAAGTAAGTTATGCTGAGACTATGCTAGTTATGTTAGCTGAGCTCTCAGACGATTAGCATTTGCTTGTTCATCTTAAAGCTTTTAGACTGACTGCCCTTTTAGTGTAAACTTAAAGACAAATGTAATCTACTGTGGATTTTTGTAAGGTTTAATATAGTATAGTAATAGCGTCATCAGTTCACTAACAAACTAGGCTTTCATTGTTTGTGAAAAGACTACCTACAATGCCAGTAACTGAGTGAAATCTACCAATAACTGAGTTAAATATACCAGTAACTGAGTGAAATATGCCAGTGGCTGAGTGAAATATGCCAGTGGCTGAGTGAAATATCTGTTTGTAAACTATGCATGAGGTTTGAGTGACTTTATAATTCTATATGACTCAAAGAATGGGCCATATTCCAGCTAGGAAAAAGGGAATGAAAGGAGAAGTAGCATAACCAGAACATTACTCCACTCATTGTTAGGGAATGTATATGGACCCACACTGTCAATAAGACTTTATCCATAATGTTTTAACATCTCTTTGAGTGTATGAGTATTTGTGGCATGTAAACAAAGAAGTAACCCTGTCAATATGGTGGATACTTCACTGAAAAGAAATGCTAATGTGCTAATATGCTAATAAAGAATGAAAGCTACAGAGAGTTAGTTAGCATTATGCAATCCGGCTGAAAAAACAGCCTAGACTAGCATGCATTCCATGCTGGTCTAAGCTGGTCCATGCTGGTTTATGCTGGTCTGGTGCTGGTTTAGCTGGTCACCCAGCATGGGCATGCTGCTTGACCAGCATACCAAGACCCAAAACACAACCTATGCTGGTTTTGGTGGGGATCATTGCTGCTGACCAGCAAACCAGCATCCAAAACACAGCATATGCTGGTTTTGGTGGTGATCATTGCTGCTAACCAGCATATCAGCATCCAAAACACAGCATATGCTGGTTTTGCTGGTCTATGCTGGTTTTTCTAGCAGGGAAACAAGATCATGCTAACTAGATAGCACTAGCATAGCTACAGTTGCATTTTGGACATAGCAGGGGAAGCCAAGGAGGGTTGTAACACCCCCAGTTTTACCAGTCTGAAATAAGTTACCATGGTGGTGTCACTTCCCAAACTACCTCCTCTTGAGCTGACAGGAGACATTTGAAGACTTTGTGTGAAACAGTGATTTAATGAGGTTCTTATGTTTATGTAATAACATCACACTGTAGGGTAAGAAAGTAAGATTTTAGCTTGGTTAGCTTGGTTAGAACTCATATTAATGTAGATTCAATAGTCTAAATCATCAGTTTCTCTAGTTTAATTTGATGTGTAAAATGCATGCTAGTTTCATACATGCCTATAAAATAAATGACCAGGACAGGGTGGGTTGTAACATCCAAGGTAATGTAGGGAGACTTATCAAAAACAATATGACCATTGATATTCACATGAACTCACTCAAGCAAAATAAATTTTAACAGTCACAGAAAATTTGACTTCATCTTACATCATCTGTACTCCAAAAAAACGTTGGTATAGACGAATAGGTTCAATATCAGTTGCATTTGCTTGTTTCCTGCCTTGAATTTAAGAAAAATAAAGGGGAAAAAGGCCTTTTATTTTGGTAGTGGGGCAGGTTGTAACAAGGGAACTCTTCATATTTGGCACAAAACTGCTTGTTTTGTGAGTAAGCAGCAGATGTCTACTCTATTGCTATTTGTAACAGAGAAATATGGGGATTAAAGTTTGAAAGGTATGACAAACAACCACTGAGTCATAGAGAAACAGGCTGAGGCGAACAGTGTTACAACCTGCCCCATTCTTCCTAAACATTTCAGAAATGACAGCTGTTGCACACTGTAGATTCTTACTAGTGGTTACTAGCAAGAAACCAATGTAAGAATTTGTGATGTGTAACCTTAGCTTTTAGTCAGTCAAATACCTGAAGCTAATGTTGGTTGGAACTAATTCACAGACAGCAAAAAAAAAAAACATTCAGCAGCATTACTCAACATCCTGGATAAGCATTAGACCCTGAGTGAACAGAGTGTGTTCCATATGGCTTGTCAGGTGTGGACTGTTTCTGACTAATATGACGCCTCTACTGATCTGTTCCCTGTGTCAAGGTTCACCATCTGCCATAAGACAGAGGTGGTGAAGAACACCCTCAATCCAGTCTGGCAGTCTTTCACCATCCCAGTGAGAGCGCTCTGCAACGGAGACTATGACCGGTAAGACCATTCTGTCTAGATGAAATCCCTTGATAGTCTTCATTGCCCTGTACAGAGTTTATGTAGGGTCACAAGTAGTTTATTTTGTTTGATGGTTCAAAGAAATGTCATGTTTTCAGCCTATCAAGGAGATTAGGGTACAATTGGTATATCGTTTGGCTGATAAAATCAACGAATACTAGGGTTGTATGATTTATCTACATGGCAAAGATACCGCCAAAAAGTCAACACTTATAAACAGCTGGTTTGATACTGTAATGAACGCACTGCTGTGCTATAAGGAGAATCTAGCAGTGACCAAATGCTCACCTTCATTATAGAAATACAGGCCGAAATGGTAAACTTGAACACAAAACAGCATCATGGTAAAAATAACCAAACCATGTAGGATAAGATGTTAGATTGCAAAACGGCCTTTATCTGAGCAGAACTGATTTAAAATAAAATGAACAGAAACCAGTAAAACTGCAAAGAATTCTAAAAAGCTCCACCACTGTCAGTACAATATTTGTAATATTTAAGTATATTTTATATAATTGTGAGTTTTCTGCTGTTTATTTCAGTTATAAACTGGTGATTCTGCATTTTTTATCTGAAGTTTGTAAGAGATGCTGGGCCAGATTCATAAGTTGGCAGTAAAGAAAAAGCATCCAGATATTAGAAACAAAGTTTCTTTTTCAGAAAATGTTGTCGATACTAGAAAAAGCTGACATGTATAAAGAATGTAATTACAAAAAGTTAAGATTCAAGATTGCAGGAATAAAAATGTTACAACCGTTTTAGCTTTTATATCCTTTTTTCTTAATACCAGGAACTCAGTTTGCACGTGACAATTAAAATAAGTAGTAAGCATTAAATTTCAACTAGTACAAGTTCAGTTTTGAGTAGTAAGCAATTAATTTTTACTTGTATATATGTAATTTTCACATGTAAATTGAAATCCATTGTAAAATCCATTGTCTCTGAAACATCTACATGCATTTTCACGTAGATGGTTTTTCTCTGTAACATCTACATTTGTGTTTCTTCTGGTAGACGTTTATGGCAATCTGAAATCCTCTGTACTCCTATTACAGCGGTAGGAAGGTTTGATGATGCTCAGTCCAAACAGATCAAATTCTGCCTTTTAAAGGTATTAGATAATCAGCTGAGTGGGTGAACGTGCAATTTGTTGATTACCTGCATGCAGGAACAAATGTTTCAAAAACATTGTAGAAAATATTATTTAATCCACATCAGCTTCACACCAGGAAAATCATTGTCAGGTGTTATTTTTGCAGGATTGTGCCAAAATGTTGGAGCTGTCCAGAGCAGCAGGAAAGTATTCAGTCTGCACCTGACGTTAAAAACCAAGTTTAGCCTGAGCTCCAGTAGAAACATTTACAAACATCATCAAATCAAAATGAAATAAACCCCGCAACACACAGTAAGAAGGACAAGGCTGAAGTTAGCGTCTTATTCGCCAGCTTCTTGTTCAAAGTTTTACGTTCCACCTTAAATGAATTAGCAGTTACATTCTGGTGCCTGAGGCTGCACCATTTAAGGTGGAATGGGAAAATTTTATAAAGAAGCTGGCGAATACAAAGCTGACTTGAGCTTCGTGTAAGAAAGGTGCTAATCTATTGTACATATCTACACAGATTATGGAATGCTATAACTCAACTAGCTACAATGCTTACGCAGCATTTACAATCCTTGTAAATAAATAGCTACTACATGAAGTTAAGATCCCCCGTATAGGCTAATTAAATGAAATAAGCTTAATATAAAAAAAGAGGAAACACAGTCAAACTAACAGGTTTTCTGTGCTTCACCAACCACACGGCCTTATCTACATATAAACATCACACAAACAACGAACATCACACAAACGTGAGTGTAGATCACTGTGTCCTCTCCATTATATAATCCTGTACCACTTTCTCAGCGCAATATTCTTGAAAATGTAATTTTCTTGTAAATGTGTAACTTTGGACAGTACCTTTTTTAAACTGCCACTATGTAATGGTACTGAATGCAGTCCAGCAGTGATGTTGACCACCAACTGCTGTTGTATGAATCTGGCTCATTAACTTCTATTTTACCTTGCAGTTTTAAAGCGGCTCTTTAAGTGAAGAGCCCTGGCTGCCTCTGTTTTCCATTTGTAAATTCTGTAGCAACAGATACAGTTACAGATATAGCCACAGTCAGTAACTGAAAACCTACAAAGTGGACCTACACTCAATGGCCACTAAAGCACTGTCCACAACAGTCATGCTGCCGTTATTCATCGGACAGTGAGGATTCGAACAGATCACGCAAGGCTGCTATTGCAGTCTTGATATCACATGGCACACGCCACATTTCGTGCTGTACAGAAGATCCACTGGCTGTCGGAGGAGATTAACCCAGTATAGCGGCCAGGGTGCAGGGCGGCGATAGCTTTCTAAGAAGCGCTTCTCTTGACACTCTGTTCCGGTTCCTGCCGCTGATTGGCTCTGACAGGGTGTCGACCCCTGCTTGGTCGGGTGTGTGAGGGGGCGGTCATGGCACACACACAGAAACACTCCCTCTGGGTGTTTTGAGGTGTCCCGGCAAGCTGTTGGCGCAGTGATTTCTTTAAGCAGAGGCATCCGACAAGCCACGGACCCTAAAGCTCCTACATCTAGAGCTCATCACTGTAGGCCTATTGCTTTTGCACTTCGTCCTCTCGCTGTCTCACATCCTCCCTCCTGTACTGAGCTGTTCTCTAAGCCCTTTATAGCTTTAATTTCTAAGCTATACAGTGGTCCCTAGACCTGGTCCTGGAGTTCCCCTGCCATGCACATTTTAGTGTTTCACACAGTCCCTTCAGGACTGAAGGGGTTTTGAGTGATCAGTTAAGGAGCAAACGGTTTAAATGGACATCCATGCTGAAACTTCTTCATACTAAATGTTGAGACACTCCACTGTAAGTGAAGTTAGCCTAACTGAAACACATTCTGAACAGGGACCAATGAAACTTACAGCCAGAACTGTCATGATAACTACAGCTAACGATTTAGTTGTCTTTTTGGTCAATCTGTGCTACTCTAAAGCATCTAATTTGGCTACCTTGCTTGCTAAAGGTTGCTAAAATTAAAATGATTATTAATAAAATTAATAAATTGCTGTGCAGATGTTCATCTGAAGCCTGAACCACGTCAAACACTGTCTTCACGTCATCGCTTTGCACTGTGATCCTTATGCTACAGTATTTTTGGGTACAGTCTTAAAAATAAAGGTGCTTCTTTGTAGCAATGCTGTTGTAGAACCACTTTTTAGTTTCAAATAATGATTTCTTTATAAACTTCTGTTGAAACTACTCAGTTGGATGGTTTTTTTAGGGAACCGAAAGTGGTTCTTCTATGAAATCACTTCCTTTTCATTTACTTTATTTTTAAGTGCATTTAGATTATTTTCTAATTTTCTGTTATCCTGTTGGAGACTCTGAGTTGTAGATATAACAGCTACAAATGTGTGTCTTTAACCATTTCTAAACCTCTCTTCCTGGCAGCCTAGTATTATTAGCAGTTATCTTCCAATACCTGGTTTGACTCAATCAGCGCTTCACTTCAAGTTAAAGCAGATGTGCTGGTGGTGGAACTGATCAGAATGCCTTTAACCTTCTATTAAATGAGCAGCAGAAAGAATCCCAGATTATATTAATCACATTTTATCAATATGTTGATGTGCACACATAATGTGCACATCAACATATTGATAAAAAACGCTATCATGGCATGTGGAAGAGGAGTTTCGTAAGTGTGGAGGCACTAGAAGAAGCATTTAATTGTGTTATCTGTGAGTGCAATCGCGCCGATATGTGTTGTCCTACCTCAGGTGTTCGACTCTGAATATTAAAACGTTAAACTTGCATTTTTTATGTAGTAATTTTGCCTGTTGGCAGTGAAATCCCAAACTAATGGCAATGCTAATGACAAAGTGCATTCACACAGCAAGACAGATGATTAGGGTAAACAGAATGATGGTTAAATGAAATGCTTTTCCATGTTTTCTGCTTATTTCTGAAGTAAAGGTGGGGTGTAAATCGTAAAGCCAGTCCCATCTCTGTCATTAAACCCCAAATTTCACTTGCACTTCCAATATCTCAGCCCATTTTCTGCTTGATTTTCTGCGTTTTGCATGATCTTCCCACAAATGCATATGCACAAGCGACAGAAATACATTTTGCATTTTTCCACGCACAAGGCTCAACTGCATGTCCAGACACCAGTTTTGTACATAACATGCAGTTGAATGTGTCCGATTTGCCCCTAAACTCAATGTCCATAAGAAGATGTATACAATTACTGTAAACAATCTGTAACAGAACAGAACCAGCCAGACCCTTGTGGTAAAAAAAAACAAGAAATGAGGCTTTACTCAAAAAGGGCTTGACAATACTCATAGGTGAGACAGGCAGAGGTCACATCCAAAAAGGCCAAAATACAGAAAAAAGACAATCATAAACAATAACAGGCAACCACATCTGAAAGGGCAAAGACAAAAAGGCAAAGTCAAGAAGTCCAAAAACACGGTCAGGAAACACAAAAGGCAATATAACAGACAGAAATGCTCAGTAGCTCTACGGAGAGCAGCAGTACCTCACAAAGACCCTAAATCAATGCTAAAGCCCAGCCTTACATACTAAACTAAATCTAAATCACATCACAAGTGAAACAGGTTAGTATTCGGGTGAAATGGAACGTTGATTGGTGGATTGTGGAAATTCATGGGATATCCCAGAGAGGGAAATGGAGTCATTACGAATGTCATAGCTGGGAGGATGTGTAACACAATCACTATGTGTGCGGTAAATTTTAATTAGCGTAACTACCTGGCAACCCTGCTACCAGTAAGTTAGTATACATTTACTGAGTTTACACTGTAGGCAGGGCTACATACCATGTGTAGGTCAGTGAAAACACACACGATAACAGTGTGTGTCTAAATGATGCTGAAAACCTTTTTGGGGGGCTTGTTAAATCCTTTTTCCCCTGAGGGCCCAAAATATTTCGATGAGGTGTCTCCATCTGTAGTCCATCTACTGATCCATTCCATATCTCACCACATCAAGTGGTAAGCCAGAGCTCCATCAGCAGCAGCACTCTGGCACCGTGCCTCATATTGGCCATTCTGGTCCACAGCGAGGTCCTGGTTGTCATGGAGTTGTAGTAAGTGCGAGGTTGGCAAGGGCAGTGCCTGTTCCACTTATGATAGAAATAGAGCGAAGCTGAAATCACAGTGTGATTAAGGGGGGCTCTTGGTGTGCCCGGCCACTTTGGCCAGGGATAAATAGCACTCTGTGAAGGAAGGTGCCTATGAAAGACTAAGGGCTGACGAGTGGTGTGGGGAGTGCCATTTACTAACATGGTAAAAAATGACGGCCCCATGGCTATCAACAGACCTGTCTGAGTGCATCAGCGCCTGCTATTTCAAGCCTAAGGAGATTATATAGGACTAATTCACGGCCACCGTGTCTCCATGGTCTTGATTAATTTTAAGCATTAGTGGAGTGAGTCAACCATTTATTCATTTTTTACAGACTTCAGATTCTGTCCAATATCCAAAACTTAGTTTCAGATATTACATTTTCGCTGGATCAGTTTCTATTATATGACCATGCTGTTTTATTAGCATGTAATGCATGTCAAGGTGTTTCAGTTACACTAACAGTACTTACTGTAAATATTCTACAGAGAGAGTCTCATAGTTTGTTGACTTTCAGCATGGATTCCCATTTGCCCACTTTAAACCATTCCATAGCCTCTTAAACTCTACAGGACTTGTGGATTCACACTTCAGCTCCTCACTCCCTAAAGTAAATTCATAACTTATATACTAGTTTCATAGCAGTTACTGAATGATTAATACTTATAATTGGACAAAAAGTATTAAGACTAATAGCTATACAATCAGCCTGCAGTTTAAGGGATTAAAACATTATCACAGTTGTCAGAAAAAAAGGTATCAACATTCTCAATTCATTCAATCTTTTATACTGCTTTTTACAACAGACATTGTCCTAAAGGAGCTTTACAGCAACAGAGGCCCCATAGCGGTAGAAATGGCATCTACAGCCAGTGATGAGGCAGTTACTCAAAAAAAAGTAATCCATTACAAATTACTAATTACTTCTCTTAAAATGCAATGGGATTACTTATTACTTATCACTACTCACTATTTTACATGGTTACACTTTATTATCTAAAGCACTTTAGATGCTTTTAGATACTTAATTTACTTGAAGTTACATTTAACTAAATATCTACAAAATTGACCATAATTTTCTTTAACTCTTAATCTGGCTCTAATCCTAACCCTAACCTTAACCTCAGCCCTACACCTAAACCCAACCCTCACCCTGGTCTTAGCCCTAACCCTGAGTTTCAACAGAAAGTTTGTTAACAATTTGAACATCTGTATAATCTATAGGGGACTATAGTGGACCTTCCAAATAAAGTGAGACCTTTTACTTCTGCCTCACTCTGTAAAGCCCACTTCTATCAAGAGTACAAGAGAAAATCCAATAGTCTTTTTTTCTGTATTATATTTAGAAAAAAATAGTCTACAATCACAGTAGACGTGATTTAAAAGCTCTATCACTCCGACAGTGATGCTGATTAAAACCAGTGGCATGGGTAACTTCACATCTGTGAAGGCACCATTAATGCTGTGGGGTACATTTGCATTTTGGAGCAACGTATGCTGCCTTCTAGATGACGTCTTTTTCAAGGATGCCCTGCTTGTTTCAGCAAGGCAATGCCAAGCCACATTCTGCATGTGTTACAACAGCGTGGCTTCACTGTGAGAGTGCTGGTGCTAGACTGTCCTGCAGTCCAGACCTGTCTCTCATTGAAAATGTGTGCTGTACCATACAATATACAACAATGGAGACCCCAGATTGTTGAGCAGCTGAAGTGTTAGTTCAAGCAAAAATGGGGAAAAATTAATTTTCACAATTACAACAACTGGTGTCCTCAGTTACCAGACGATTACTGAAAGGAAAGGTGATGATGCAGGCATCAGAATTAGATTAAGCGCATATATAGAAAAACAAAGTAAATTAGTTGAAACATTAAATATTTTGTTTACGATTGACTACAACTCAAAAAGGATTTGCAGATCACTGCTTTTCTTGTATTTCACCTGTCAACTTTTTTCGGAATTGGGTTTGAATACACAAGAAAATATAAAATATGAAGTTATCTTCCACTATATAACAGGGGGAGAAGGCTACTGTTGTGGCTATTACAGCCTGCCCAAGTTACAGAGCATGCTATTTGCATTATGAAGGGCATCTTTTTGTCATTGCAGACTCAATTCTTGTGGCATACAATAGTAACAATAGTAATATACAATATAATTGTTACAGGCATTCTGTAGCAGGTCTTTTTCATGAGGGTACGTCTTTGTATCCGCTTCTTTTCTTTCACCGAGAGTTCATGACACAAATCTATGAATTTTCAGCTTTGTCATGTTGTGCTCTTTTCCTGGCACAATAGGTGGAATGACAGTGTTCTAGAATCATACCATGTAAAAAGAAAAATCATTAAAGAGCAGAAGGAGCTACTGCGATACGCTGCACAAAGATTTTAAGCAGAGGCGCTCAGATCATCCAGAGCAAAGATCCGTGAGATAAGCTGGTGAATAATGTGAAAAGTCTATCAGAAAAAAAGATCAAAAGAGGTCAGAGCTGTGAAATTAAAAACAGCTCGGGATAGTGTGCAAGCAGCCCTCCAGCCCCCTTTGTTCCCTTCGCTTTTCCGCCTCCTTCCTCGCTTCTCTCCTTTCCTCGTGTTCTGGATGGGTCTATTTCTGTTCGCCGGCTGTGATCGCTGATTGACAGCTGCCCGCGGGCACGTCTTGACAACAAGTCTCTCTCTGTGTCAGAAAACACGGCATTCAGGTGACTGAGGCTTTAAAAAGGTGCTGACTCACTACCTTGAAGATAACGAACGGCGGAGGGCGCCGGCGCCTACGCATCTGGGGAAGGGTGAGGGTTGTATTTTCGGCGCCTTTTCTTCTTCTTGCCTGTTGTGTGATGTTTCTCGCTGTCTTTGGGGCGGGGGATTTGCAGTTGTATGATGTGGCGCTGGCACTATGGGCAAAAAAAAAGTTTGTGACGGCTCACGAAATAAAAGTACTGTGGAAAGTTTTCTAAGTAAGAAAAAAGAGAAAAGAAAAAAGTAGTGGTGCTTCATCACCCAAGTCTTTTTTAGTTAGTAGGTGGTATTCAAACCTACAGCTAACTGTATGTTAGACACCCCTCATTAGCCTTACTTAACACTAACATTCTGGAGACACTGGCAAGGCCTGCCAAGCTGCTTCGTTTTCTCACAGAGGCCGCCATTTTGACCTCCTGAAGAAACCGTCCAAAACAACTCAGCCTCGTGGCCTTTTATTTCCAAATTTTCTTCATCAGGAGCACGCTATGTTCTTGGCATGACCGTCACGCTGCCTTTGCCAATCAAACCTAAAATGTCGCAATTAGCCGTGTTCCTCGAAAACATCCTTAATGACTCACGAGCGCGTTCTGCTTCGACTGTGACCAGAAGAGCCTGAAATGAAGCTTGAATTGAAAATGAGCTTTCTGATGCCGCTCTCTAAGAAACGTTCTCGGACCACGCACGAGCCCTGCTTAGACTAATGAGCCTGATTGAGGAGAACGTGCCTTTTGTCTTCATTAATATGGGAACGAACTCCCATTTTTCTCCCTGATCTTGTTGGTGTAAGCTACAGAGCGAAGCACCTGCTGTGGGATGTAAAGCCACCCCCCATCATTGATGCCAGTGTGACTGATGACTCAATTCAGATCCGCGCTGCAACAAGCCAATTAAGCACGCTGGCGTTCACTTCAGCCTTCTTCATATGAATTCTGACGGGAAATGAATGAACACTCATGATGACCAGTCAAGGTCGAGAGTTAATCTTTCAGCTGAAAAGTTTGGTTTGCATCTAAATTTACTTCTGTGTATTGCAATGTTTTCTGTCCTTTGTAGGTCTTTCACTCTTTCACTTTTTCTGTTGTTCTTGTTGTATTCTTTCAGAACTATCAAGGTGGAGGTTTATGACTGGGATCGAGATGGAAGGTTAGTGACCAAATTGTTTATTTTTTATAGCTTGATTTTTTGCATTAACCCTAAAATGCATATGCCATTTACCCCCTTCTGCCTTTATATATACTGTATATATACTGCTATATCTCCAACATCTCCAAAATGATAACTTTACAGGAGAAGGAAAAAATATATATTACTTTTAATGTAAGTCAATGGAACCAGATTTTTTTCCAAGTAATTTTGGGCCATTTGCTTTGGTCCATTCATCATGAAATTTAAACACAATGTAATGCAATGTCAAAAACTGAAAAATGACAAAAATGGAGATACAAGGTTTTGTTCTGACAGCAGCTATATACATATACTTCTTTGTTTTTTCATTGTAATGGGTTATTTTCATTTGTTTTCTCGATATCTTGTTATATTCATGTCATTATCATTATATCGTTATTTTCTCGAGATCCAGAGTTATTCACATCATTAACACAGTATAACAGACAGTTTTATAGAGATAACATTTGTTGTGACTTCTTCAAGCAAATTGCAAACAAAGGCAAAAAGCACCATTTACTATTGTGTAAAGTGCAAAACAAAATAATTAAAAAATAAATAAACTGCAATTATAAGAACAGTTTTGTACACTTTAAATAAATAAAATGTAAAAGCAAAAGGCAGTAAATACATTTAATTCCTAAAAAAAACTCCTTATGGTGATGCAACTTTGTTTGTTGTGACAGTAGCCATTACTGCTTCACACTTTACGCACAATACTGGAAGTGAGAATAGCCATCATGTTTAAAGCATGTGTGTGCTTTGTAATTGGCTTTATGGTAGAATGGTTAAGTCACTAGACATGCAGGAGGCTGGGCTTCGAGCCTCGCTCATGGACGCATACTACTGCTCTAATCTTAGACACCATTTCTATCACTGCATACCTACCAATTTAATTATGTCACTCTTGTGCTGTGGATATGTAAAAAGGTGCCACAAAGGGTTCTTTGTGCAAATGCCATAGAAACCGAAATTGATTCTTCTGTGGCATCTTTGTTTTTCAGAGTGTAGTATAATTTGATCCATTCTGCAGCTGGTAATGATGTGTTAAGCATGGATGCTCATATTGTAATGTTGATATAAATATAGTTAATTGTGCAGCCCTACAGGAAAACATGAAATAGTCTTTTCGGTAAAGTAGCTTAGTTTAAAAGTAATTTTACTTTTATGTACTCAGAGTGTTTAATGTGCAATATTATATATGAAAAATTAAATACTGGATTCAGTATCAGCAGAGCAGCCTATATTAAAGCATTCATCATTAAATCATCATTAAGTCACAGAAGTTTGTAGATGAAGCTGTGTGTGAAGTTTATGTCAGCTCGGAACATTTTCAGTGTGAAAAGTATTTTGCATTAACGTCGCTAATGACCTCAGGCACATACTAATGGTTAGCATTAGCAACTTTGTATTTAAGGGTTAAAATACACTGATCATTTGACAAGCAGGGCAGCAGGAATGCTAACCTGTCTTGCACAGCATGGCTAATGTTTTATGGATTCTGCATTCTGAAGCCTGTAGTATCTGATTATGCTTGTTATTCACTTTCAGCCACGATTTCATTGGTGAATTCACCACCAGTTACCGTGAGCTAGCCCGAGGTCAGAGTCAATTCAACGTGTATGAGGTAAGTTGCCTACAAACACCTCAGGCCATCCCATCCGTCTGCTAACACAAGCAGGGCTCTGCTAACTAAGCCCTTAACTTGGGTAACGAGTCCACAGGTATCGCGTGCCTTTGATTTCCAGGTGAAGTCATTAAAACTCTGACAGACCTCTTGATCTCCTCTTCCCATTTCCCTCTGCACCCCAGCCTTTCTCAGTATTTAAAAATGATTCCACATCGTTACCAAGGCACAGGTAAATTATTCCATGCATTAGTAATATTTTCAAGCCATTTTTTGTTATTTTTCTCCCTCAGGTGATGCCGGAAAATAGGTTTTGTTAGCATTTCTGCTCCTGTGTGCCTGGAATTTGTTTTTGCAGTGGTAATCTACTGGACAGTACCGCAAGCCCAGTCATTAGAAAGCAGTGTGAAAAGAGATTAGCATAAGAGTGTTCCAGGAATTGAACATTATTACGGTGCAGTTCCTACCCCAGAGGAGTTTGTCTGATATTGCTGTCAGCCCCTTGTCTGCACTCATGTCAGATTAACCATTGACTTACAGGCATCACCACAAAGACTGCTAAGTGCATTGAGATCTCTTTGTGATGTGCTCATGTGTTGTCAGACTGGGAAAACTAGAATATAATACTAAGTAATGTATATAGAGGTGTTTATATGTATTAGATCATTTATATCATATATGGATTATATTCATTCTACCAAATTGGTTTACACATTTCGGTCTTTTAGCTGACTTTGACTTTAAATCCTGTTGCTTTGAATGACCCTAACCTTGATTCAGTTTATTTTATTGAAATAAGTGTTTGAACCATTTATCATTACCTAAACAACCTGAGCACTACCGAAACTTTACCAAATGTTTCAGTAGTGACTATTTCGGAACTGAAATAGCTATGTTTTAGCTATTTCTTAGCTACTTAGCTACTTTTGAGCATAACTCAAAAACACTAGCCATGCATGACTTGCAAACACAGCTGCAAACACACACATAAAACTATGCATACATACCTCAGCTGCCCTGACTAAAGGAGATCTTTCTGAGGAGATTAAATATAAGAAGGGAAAAGTTTAACAAATTATATACAAAAATGTAATAATTATATGTGCATATATTACATTTGCAAATCTTACATTTGCATGTTTCATTGAATTTCTATTGGAGCTGGATTAGTTTTACCTGGGGAGGTGCTGTAATTTGAGGTATTACTGACAAAACCTGTAATTTAAAGTCTACTAAGCAATAATTCTGGAGTGAATTACCTTAATTATAACTTTCTGAACTGACATCACAGTAACGTAAAAACAAACCCGCGTAATAGAAAACGGCGTCTCCATTTTTTTTTCAACCTGAAGACAAGGCAGTTTAATGGAGCTTGATTTGACCCTATTCTTTAATCCTCAGGTTCATGACCAAACTACTGAAATCCACAACAATTCAGTGTGTATTCCCTCCAGTACGCTATGAATATTATAATGCATCCTTTGGAATTGCCTTTGATAACAGACATCACCCCATACTGAAGTGAAATCTAAAGTCTCCTCCCTCATCCAATGTTGTGTTTTGGGTTTTCTTTTTGGCTCCATATTTACAATTTGGCCACATAGTGTGTTGTTATTGTTCGGAAGTGCGGCGCCTGTCGCATGATGCTGAGTTAAAGATCTGCCCAATGATGCTTCGATTCAGGCTATTTGGGGTGATTTGGGAAAATTACACAGATCCTTTGTCCCATACAAATCGGCCAGTCAAATAATGCACAAATCACTGACAAATCTGACCTCCTCTGGTAAACCTAACCTGCTCAAATAGGGCTTAAATGAACACATCCTCTACAGGGAACAAACTTACATATACAATTTTTCTATGAATTTTAGTGCACATTGTACTATAATGAACAATAATAAAATATAAGAGGTGCCATAACAGTAATTGTGGACTACATTGTGCAGGAGTGTGTTCTCTGTAAAGGATGTGTTCAATTATTTACCCCCAAAAAAACCAATGGAATGGGGTGCTAAAACTTTTGCATACGACTGTATGTTCTCCGAGTTGAGTGGGTGGTAGTGTTCTTATCAGCCAGTTATGTAAGAGAAAGTTTTGGGGTTGCACACGGGCTGGCCAGTCTGATTCCATTTCCCTCTGGATATGTTCCTGCCCCTTTCATCATTAGCCAGTTTCTGACCACAGGACCATAGTTGACCAGTTATTATTTGGGCAGACCATTCCCGGTCAGCAGTGAACCCACTGATATGATCGCGACATGGTACTGTGCGTGGTGCTGGTACAAGTGTATCAAGCTCTGCAGTGTTGTATCCGGCCAAAAGCAGCTCTGTGGTCAGAAACTGACCACTGATGAAGGCAAAGAAGGTGGCCAACACAAACTGCATGGTGATAGACTGCAGTTTCTAACTGTACATGTGCTATATATCTTCCTCACAGAACATTTTTCTGTTGCTCTGCACGGATGCTGGCCATGACATGCAGTTAATAAGTCAGAGCCTGAAAGTTCAGCTTTTCTATTACTGCACCTGACCTTGACTTAAGCATAATAGAGACCATTTGAGCTATCGATTGTGCAGTTTTTGAAGAATCACCCTGCATTAGTGATCTTTTCTCCTCCGCTGTAGGCCACTGAGTGCTAGCAGGTGGCCCCCGCTGCTTTGTGTGGATATCAGCACTTTACCCCTTTCTCGCTTTGTGTGTACGCAGACAGTGGCCTCGGCCACATCCATCTTCCCTGCTTCGCTTTGTCAATAATATGGATGACCCCACTGCTACTGGTCCTGACTATCTTCACCATCACAATGCATGCAGAGTCAAGCGCCAGCAGTGCTTCACATACCCAACACTTCCTTTCCATTCTCCAATTTTCCACCTCTATCTCGTCCCACTCTGACCCCTTTTTTTTCCCACCTCCCTCGCTGTGCTTCATTTCAGATGTAGGGACGCATAACTAAAGGAACCATACTCTTAAAAATGGATGGTTCTCTAAAGGACCCATATTACAGAGAAACAAATTTGACTTTTTTTTTTAAAAAAACAGTTTGATGTACTACAAACCCACTTCCAAAAAGTTGGAACAGTAGGAAAAATGTAAATAAAAACAGACAGCGATGATTTGCAAATAATTTTTGACCTGTATTCCATTAAAAACAGCACAAAGACAAAATATTTAATGTTTCAACTAATTGGCCTTATTATTTTTCTATGTATTTTCTATGTATGATGATTTCTATGTTTGATGCCTGCAGCATGTTGGAAGTTGGAAGAGGGGCATTTTAATCACAGGCCAGTTTAGCAACTGCACTCTCTTACTACAAATTCTTGCTGTTGGAACATGCGGAATGTGGCTTGGCATTGTCTTGCTGAAACAAGCATGGACATCCCTTTAAAAAAAAGGAGATCATCAGCACATATAGCAGCATATGTTGCTCCAAAATGAGTATGTAACCATGTAATGGTTCCTATGTTACCCAGAATTACATTGGCACCAACACACCCCTATATCATGAGAGGTGGTGCCTTTTAGACTTTATGCTGGTAACAGTTGGGATAAGTCTGTTTCTTCTTTGCCCAGAGAACAAAATATCCATGATTTCCAAAAACAATTAGAAAAGTGGACTTATTTTTAATAACAAAATAATTTCACAACACAGCATACTTTTCTACTTTGCATCAGTCTATCTCAAATGAGCTTTAGCCCAGAGAAGTCTGTGGCGTTTCTGGATGTTGGTGCTATATGGCTTCCCCTTTGCGTAGTAGAGTCTTAACTTGGACTTTAAGATACAGCAGTGAACTGTGCTTACTGACAAGTATTCTCGAGCTTATATGGATATTTTCATTACAGAAGTATGTCAGTGCATCTGAGGGAACAAAGGTCATGGGCGTTCACTGTAGGCTTTTGGCCTTGCCCTTTACGCACATATATTGCTCTGGATTCTCCAAATCTTTTGATAGTGTTGTGGACTGTAGATGGTGAAATCCCTACATTTTTTTGCAACTGTGCATTGTTCTTATACTGTTGGACTTTTTGCAGTTCTAAAACAGATGTTTTAAATCATTCTACAAACTTCCCAGTCCTATCCCAAGTGTCCTCTGTCCCACCCTTTTTGGAATGTGTTGCAGGAATTACATTTGGAATTAGTGTATATTTACAATAATCAATAAGGTTGATAAAATACGAAATATATCTTCTTTGAGCTGTTTTCAATTAAATATCTGTCCTACTGTCCCATTTTTGGACTTTTTGTCTTATAAACATTTTATAAACATTTTTGTATTTTTTTCTTGAATGCAGCAAAAGAGGTTTGCTCTCTTTAAAAACTGTTTTTAAAAACAAAATAATTTTATGACCCTGTCAGATGCTGGGGCACCTCAAAAATGGGTCTGGATACACCACTCCACGGTAAACAACCACTCACTGCAGAAGTGGCGGACAGAGAGCAGGTTAAAATGCCAGAGTATTCCTTCAAAGAACCACCCATTAAAAGCTTTGTGAGGGAGATAAAGTGGTTTCTCTTTGGCATCTCTCCTTTAGTTATGTCTCCCTACATTTGAAACACAGCTGGGGGGGTGGAAGAAAAAAGTGGTAAAGTGGGGCGAGACAGATGCAGAAGACTGGAGAATGGAACAGTGAGATTATTCATTGTCGCACAGTAATGCTGCTCGCCTCTCGCAGATAACTGAAGAATTCCATGTGACATCACATTTGCGTGAGTTTTGTGGAGGCCACTGCTTCAGCGCTCTAGCTGCATTCTCTACAGATGGAGGCGGTTTCCAGATTAATCATTAATTGATTTCTTTTCCAAGACACCTTGCTGTGAACAAGAGAGCTGTTTGTTATGCATTTAACGAGTCCATATCTCATTTCCACACAATCTGATCTGTGGGAGCTTGTTTAGATTCAGCTCCTGAATCTTCTGCCTGCTTTGTAGGTGGTGAATCCGAAGAAGAAGATGAAGAAGAAGAAATACGTCAATTCAGGCACGGTGAGTCACACACACACACCTACACATGTGCTGTATATCCTACATTTATTTAATTTCTTGTTAAAACAGCCATTAAATACAAGTTATTTATTTATCAGGAGATTAAACACAAGGTAAGCTACTTTCATTAGCCAAAGGAAAATAAAGGTAAAAACAGGAGTTTCCAAAACTCAATTATTAAAAAAAAAGAGTTCAATTATTAAAAATTATAAAAAAAAATGTGACTCTAACATCCTTGCAAGACCTGGTAGACGACTAAAACTATCACCATAATGTAAACAGTACTTACAACGTTCATCTTTGAGGGCGAGGATAAAATCAAGCTGTAGATCTGAAAAAAAATTACAGGGGTTTCTGTCCATCCCTCCACTGTGAGAAGACAACTCAACACTATGGGTATGAAAGGATGTGTAGCTGTCAAGAAGCCCTTACTAACATTACTGAATATGTTTGAGATTATTTGGTTTGTGAGAAGCAGAAAATACAACCACCTTCTAAAACTGAACTTTGTGGAAAAACATCCCTGCAGTTTTCTTTGAAAAGGTGAACTCAAGTCTTCAGAAAAGAGCGGAAGCTCTAATGAAGACAAAAGTTGGACAAACTGAAACATTTCATATATTCAGTTATTGAGGCTTTTGTGTAATTTTCTGTTAAATATATATTTTCTGCCTTTTAAGCTGCACTGAACACTGCAAAAATAGTATCTTAACAAATGAACTTATCTTAAATCTAGTCGATATATCCAATATTTCTTCTGTTGAAATTGTTGTAAGCTTCGATTAAAAATATTAAATTTATTTACAAACTTTTATTTAGTAAAATTATCTCACCATATTAGCAGATAATTTGCTTGTTTTAAGAAATGTACCTGAAACAAGCTAAATTATCTGCCAGTATAGTGAGATCACTTTACTTAATAAAATTACATAAAACAGGTACAAATGTCTCAAAATAAGAAATATCAGACATATCGACTAGAATTAAGATAATTTCACTTGACAAGATACTATTTTTTGCAGTGAAAAATGAGTAACCTGTACTTAATGGCCATTTTGACTGGAAATTAAACAAATGAAGGGTGGTCTCTGACTTTTGCCCAATACTGTAAACATATACATGCATGCATATATGCATATACAGTTGTTTGCAGAGTTTTGTTAGCCCCTGGTCACATGGCATGTATGCACAGTTACTGTTTGTTTGCTGAATTTAACATATTGGGGAAAAAATAAATGAATTGGTTTTGTTAAATATGTTAAACTCAGCAAATAAATGCAAAATCTGCACCGCGCACACACAAATACACACACACTTCCACAGTCTTTAATTATGACAGTCCCTTCTGCTTGTTTATGTTAGGAGTGAAACAAAACAAAGGCATGCGGCTTCCACCTGTGAGAACACAGGCTTTCTGCATTAATTGCTATCTCCTTTCACATGGCTGCTAATTAAATGAGTCAAGGGAAAAATAATCATTGGGCGCTTTTATTCGCAGCTGCGCTGAGACAATGTTCACCTGTGACGGATTCTGGGAAAAAGCAGTGCTCAAGAGTCTGAGTACATGGCTATGTATTGTGTTTAACAGATGGCCAAGGTTAAAGGCCAGTAGTGGCCTCTATAAAAATGTATATGTGTGAGAAAAAAGAAAGAAAGAAAGAGAGCGAGAGAAGTAGAGGTGTGTGGGCGGATGGAGGACGTGAAAGGGGATATGAAAGCGGGAATTTGTAGCTCAGGAGAGCTAATGTGACATGAGTGTGTTACGCAGACTGATGGCTGCGCCAAAACAGCCCTCATTTCCTCCCGCAGTACAAACTCAAGCTGGCAACATCCGCTAACTTTGGCTCCTCTGCCCGCCATCATCAGTCATTGTCTCATTCATAACACATGGAAGGTAATACGGCAGGCAGGTTTAGATATGAGAACATAATCTGCTAATCCATTTGAGAAAAGGCCCAATATTAGGCATTCCAAAAAGAACATATGCTGCCTCACCTAGAGCTGCGCTACTAATCGGATATTGATAGCAATCACAATTTAAACTCTGCAGTTTGCTAATTCTCAAGAGAGACACAAGCAGTGCAGTAAGTTCTTTACTGGGCCTGTCACGTTGAAGAAATTTTAGCTGATGATTAATTGTCCTATAACAGGCGTCGGCAACCCAAATATAAATAAGAGATATTTTGTCCTTTCCACAAAAATCAAACCACTTTAGGAGCCACAACATTTTATGCCTATTTCACCATCTCAGCTGTAAATATGTCTCAGTATGTGCTAATGTACTAATACAGGCTAAAAAATATAAATGAAAACGCAGCTCTGCTTTAAGCTTTAGCTCAGCTATAGCCACTTTTCTCGCATCTCCAGCAGGAAACTTTTCCTCGAAAGTAAAATAGTTTCTTGTAAAATGTCTCTCAACATTCAACTTTTTATGAGACTGAAGTCAGCCTCTTATTCGCCAGATTCTTGTTTGAATTTTCCTGTTCCACCTTAAATGACTTCAGCTTTATTTTACCGCAAAGGAAGATTATTTTATTTGTACCAAAAAATCTAATTCTGCCGTGGAGCCTCAACAGGGCAGTAAAAGAGCCGCATGTGGCTCCGGAGTTGCATGTTGCCGATCCCAACCTATTGCAATAAATGATTTATCATCTTTTTTGTTTATTGATTACAACTACGAAAATACACGCCTAAAGCAGCCAGATCGGCTTCAGTATCTTGCTTCCTAGCTATTTATACCAGAGTGTCCACTAGGAATCTTGGGTGCTGGAGATGGAGTCCGAAAACAATTCAGTTTGCTGGACAAGTGAATTAAAAGTCCCATTAAATAACATCATTTGCGCTTACATTGTGCAACACCCACACTGTGCTATCACATGATGTAACATCTTAATCCAAATGTTGTGTAATGTATTTTCTCCAGGAGACTTAAATACAGCTCTGTGCCTTAGAAAACATATTTGTTGGCATGGCTGCTATCAGCGTTTTATGTTCTCTGCGTCTTCATGGCTGCTGCCAACTGAAAGTCCTCCAGCTGGCCAGAAGACAGTCTGAAACTGAGGCTTCGCAGCTCCAACGGCAAACTTATTTATCAGACCACATGTTTTAATGCAGCTTGGACTGTGAGATCATAATAAACATGCACTGCTGCCTTAAACTTAATACACTGCAAAAAAGTGAAAGTTTTTCACTTTTATTTTTCAACAAGGTTCTATATAGAACCATCTACAGCACATTCTCTATCAATCTAAAGAAACTTTCATGATGCAAAAAGTTCTTTTTTGAGTGTCTTCGCTAAAGAATCTGTGAAGAACCACCACTTTTTAGAGTGCAGAGCTTTGAAGTTTGTACCTCACACTCCTAGTTAGGACCTAGAATTTAAGGGACTGTAACCTTTACCAAAGATTCTTCACACTTGTAATCTCAGGTTCTTTATGTAACTAAATGTGGTTCGTCTGTGGCATTAATCCAAAGAAGCCTTTTCAGCACATTTATTTTTAAGAGTGTACATGGAAATGATGGATCGTGTATAAAGAAAATTCAGTGCATCACTTTATTCAATACCCAAACAAATCTTTTGAACATTTATAAATTATCAGCAATTCTAAGCAATACATTTTAGCAAAACCAGTGTTTTAGTAATGCTACTAATGCTACTGTTTACAAATCTGTCAGCATTAGAATGTAGAGCACAGATGTATTGAGTAGTGCAATATCTGTTGTGCGGGATACTACTACTCAAAAAATTGGAATTACTCAGAATAATAAAATTTATTTATTCTGTTATTTTGTATCTAAGAACTTTTTCAACAATATTTTATACATGATTACTTCCTCAACAATATTTTTGTCACGTTATCTTGTTTGAGATTTGATCTCCATTAGTACTCCCAGTACTGTAAATTGATGACCTACAGCTTCATTCATCATTATAGACACATAATTTGGGGCAGTTGTGGGCTGGAGGTTAGGCCTTGTGACTGGAAGGTCGCCGGTTTGATCCCCTGAGCTGACAGGACATGACTGAAGTGCCCTTGAGCAAGGCACCTAACCCCCAACTGCTCCCTGGGCACTATGGATAGGGCTGCCCACCACCCTGGGCAAGTGTGCTTACGGCCCTCTAGTGCGTGTGCATTCACTGGTGTGTATGTAGGTGTTTCATTGCACAGATGGGTTAAAAGCGGAGGTGAATTTCCCCGTTGTTGGACTAATAAAGGGTTCTTGCTAATTATTTGAAACCTGTGAGGTTGAACATGACTAGCATATTGGAAAAGTTTTATATCTGCGCATACTTGTACACAACTGCTGTTTTACATTTTTGTCAAATTTGTGCAGCCAGAGTTCCTGTCAGCTTTGTGCTAGACTGAAATTTTTGTTTTTCGATCTTCTCACACAGGTGACGCTGCTGTCTTTCTCTGTGGAATCCGAATTCACTTTCCTCGATTACATCAAAGGAGGGTGAGTAGATAAGCTGGCAGATGTGGGGTCTTTGCAGAGTGTCTGAAAGGTCTCACCTGTGTCCCCCTGTTGTGTTGGCTGTGTACGCTGCAGCAATACGTATTTTTCGTGATTAACAGTTTATTAGGGATTCCAGTTGGCAGAATAATAGCTATAGACAATAACAGGTTTCTTTTAGACAATCAGACAAACTAACAATAACAGTAGCAGAAAAAGACAGACCGATATTAAAAGGAAAAAATAAACATAAAATGCAGTTATGGCACCTTTGGTATTTTTATGGTAAATGAATGTACCATTTTAGATATACAACCTACAAATATACAAATATTATTCAACGCTTTATATGTTTATCCTTCAACGTATTCCACCTAAGAAAGCAGCACTCATATTCACAGCATTTTCTTTAATATTTTCAGTAACACTTTATGTTAAGGCTACCTGCATATGGACATTCCATTTAACACTTTTAAGGCAGCCTTGAGGCAATGGTGGATAGCAACACTTCCTGTGCAGTGATTGGACAGTTGAGAAATGAAGGTGCATTCCCATGTAATGGAACTTGTAATGGTGTCATAGGCAGAAATGTTCTGGGTAAGCCTGAGAAAAATTGGATAGGACAGTTTGGCAGAACAACTTCCATACGTGCTAATGTTCCGCAGTTTCATTGCATCAGGCTACTGGCTATGCCTGATAGCCATGCAGTCATCACCCTGCCTACTCAAATGTTTTTGTTCTATATTCTGGCTAGAATACTGAATTTACACCAACACAACAAACACTGCAACACCATATACTATAAACTTTACAGTATAAAGCATTCCTCTGCTCATCATAGGCATTTTTGCCCATAAAAAGACATTACAAGTTAAAATCAGATGTACAAATACAAGGAAAAACTTAAAACCTATGAACTTAAAAACCCAAGTCTAATCATTGAAGCCAAAACCATACTGCCATGGTGGGCATTAAAACGTATTTATAGTGCATTTATGTTTTACCTATGATTATTGAAGTAGTAAAACTGATGATGACAGAAGACCAACGATGGTGATGTTATTTCGGCTTTGGATGGGTAGAAAACGACATTCTCTACAAGGCAAAAGCTCCCTTTAAGTGCCCCCCGTTACATCTTTTAACTGCAGCTGGAACTTTAAACTCAAACACTGCCGCACTGATAATGAATTGAAGCCTCGAGACAATGGTGGATAGCATTGGTTACTGTGCAGTGATTGGACGGTTGAGAAATAAAGGTGGAGCTTGGCAGAGAGTGGAATGATTTGATTGGCAATAATACAGAGATATCACTCATATATACAAATAGAAGTTTAGCTTAAAAAATCCATCTTAATAAATATTCTTTCCTTATTTGATTGAGTAGGCCTGTGATCAGTCTGCAGACCTACCTGTGACTACGCCCCTGGCTTGTAAGAAAGAGGCCTAGTGAAGAGCTCCATGTATGAGTTCTATGGAAGATTTCTATGCCCTCAGACTTTTCATACATATTTTTCAATATGCATTAATTTACATATCCCTATACAAACATCCTGTACTTGAATAGAAGTAGAAATACCCTCAGTAAAAGTTCCCTGTCTGTATTTCTATGTGAGTACAAAAGAGCTCAGAATTATAGATGTACTTAATTATCAAACGTAAAAGTACTTTGGGTCATTATTGAGAACATTTTATGGCAGCAGACATGAATAACAGAGTTAGCTGGGCATGTCTGCAGCCTCACAAGTCTCCTTAATGAAAACTGTATTTTTATACTTTAACTGAAGTAGAAATATTCAGGGGGCAGTTGTGGACTGGAGTTTAGGGAACCTGCCTTGTGACCAGAAGGTTGCCAGTTCGATCCCCTAAGCCAACAGCACGTGACTAAAGTGCCCTTGAGCAAGGCACCTAACCCCCAACTGCTCTTTGGACACTGCGGATAGGGCTGCCCACCGCTCCAGGCAAGTGTGCTCACTGCCCCCTAGTGTGTGTGTGTGTGCTCACTAGTGTGTATGTGGTGTTTAACTGGGTTAAATGGGTGAAATTGTGGAGGTGAAATTTCCCTGTTGTGGGACTAATAAGGGTCTTAATATTTTGTTCTTAACTGCTTCTGTATTATAGGGTCCGTTAGTTGGGAATTGTCTTTCATAACATTGTGAGAAACTGAACAAATGCCCATCACTTTTCGTGTAAAGGCCCTTAATGCAAGGTAATTCATTTCATAAAACATCTTATTTCATCTCGCAACTATAGAGAGGAAAGTTTGTGAAACAAACTTTAAGTTGGCCTGACACAGCCATTGTTATGAAATTCCAGGTGGTTGCTAAGCTGTTGCTATGCCATTGCTATTGGTATCTAAGATAGTTGCTAAGGTGCTGCTAAGCCACTGTTATGGAATCCCAAATGGTTGCTAAGGTGTTGCTTAGCCATTGCTTTGGAATCCCAGGTGTTTACTGAGGTGTTGCTATACCACTGTTATGGAATCCCAGGTGTTTGCTAAGGTGTTGCTGAGTCGTTGCTGTGGTATCCCAGGTGTTTGCAAAGATGTTGCTGGGTTATTGCCATGGTATCCCAAGTGGTTGCTAAGGTGTTGCTGGGTCATTGCTATGGTGTCCCAGGTGGTTGCAATTCTGCACTATTACGATCATGCAAAGTTGAATGATTCTAGCTTGAAAATGACAACACGTAAATACAGTACAAAAAAGCGTAAAATAAATAAAAATAATTCGCAGGTTGGCTTTGTCAAGCCAAATTTATTACTGGCATTAGCTGTTTATAAATGTTCACATACTGCTTTATTCAGTGCTTATGCCTATGTTATGAAGTCCCTATATAGGTAGCTTTCAAATGATGTGTTACTAGTTTTTATCATTTTTCAGACGTCAACTTTCTCTGTTGTGGAAAACCAATGACGTAATTTAGTTCCATACATAATGAACATCATAAGACATATTTGGTCTTATGACTCTTAGTCACAGGCTAAAACCTGACAATCAGAGCTTCATTTTACTGAAGATAAAGAGCAGTGGCTTAAAAAAAAACAAGGGCATGCATTGATTGGCTAGTCTTTTAAACGCTTTGACATTTCACCGGGCGGACGGGGCGGGCTCCGCTGTCATCTCTCCGAATGAATCAGCACGCCGCTGGCACATCCAGGGCCGCATGAGTGAGCATTAGACGCCCCCTTCCCAAACATAGACCTATTTTGGTGAGATTTTTAAGAAAACCACTCAGCCTGGCTATTGTGTGACAGATATGATTTGAAATGGTTCCAGCACTTTTAAATGCTCATTCAGTCTGATATTGTTCCCTCCAGAAAGAGAGGTCACCCTTGGAAAGACTAATTTGATGTTTCTGAACAAGGAACAGAAATTCTTGACGGTTTCTAGCATGGACAGGACTGTATTAGGGCATAATTCAGAAGAAAAACATTAACATTAGGAAGAAATACAAATAAATGTTAATAAATTATTTTGTTTTTGTGTGTTAGCTTAATAATTTCCAACCTTTTCCTCAAGGCAAGCCAGTATTGGTAGTGACCATCTAATAGTACTAGGGTTGCCCTGTAGTTACCGTCAAAAAGTGCAGCTAATCAGATATGATGTTACGTTATATTTCATTAACTTAAGGCAGGTGTGTAGTGGAATTACACAAATCCATGTTTTGGAAAATGGCCTGTGTTCTTCCAACCAGCTCACCAGACATCAGGAACATTTTTAAGCACAAGGAATTCTTATTTCTTTACTCTATTCATGTTTATTTTATCTATTCAAATGTTCTATAACGTTTTCAAGCCAAAATGTACTCACTGTCAAGGTAAACAGGTTACACATATACTTTTGCAATGTACTGTAGTCCACATGACATATGTCCAAAAGTATCCAGACACCATTTCTAGTGAATTCAGTTATGTTAAAGTGGCCCACTTTCTGACGCAGTCATTCAATTGTGTACACGCAGCTTGTATAATGTCCATAGAAAAGCACTGCCAATAGAATAGAATGCTCTGGAATATCACACATGAGCCTAAGATCACCATGCCCAATGCCGAGCAAAGGCTTGAGGGGTATAAAGCCCCCCAGCATTGGCCTGTGGAGCAGTGGAACTGGGTTGTCATGAGTCATACAGCTCCATCCAATACCTTTGGGATGAGTTGGAGTGCTATTTGTGATTCAGAAGAAATCATCCAACAAAAAACATTTAAATCCTCAAAGCAAAGTGTAAAGCTTTCCTAGAACAAACTCCAAATTTATAATAATATCCTTGGTTTCAGAAGAAATGTTAGATGAGTAGGCGTCTACAAACTTTTGGACAGATAATGTAGTTTAGAGCACATGGACACATCTGTACCTCTGTAAATTATTACATATAGTGAGCACAACCCTGTATATTTATACAGGGTTGTGCTCACTATATGTAATAATTTACAATTTAAGCAGCTTGATGATGAGCCACCAGGGATGCTTTTCCATCAGGCCTGAGGATACACATGCCGTTGCTATTGGACAAAACCTCATATCTCCAAAATGGTGTCTTTAAAAGAGAAGGAAAAAACATTCTTAACTTGAAAGAAAGTTAATAGATGAAGATTGTTTTCCCAGTCTTTTTGGACCATTTCTGTTGGTCCACTCATTATGAAATATTAACACAATGCAAAGGGTAACTGGACCTTTCAAATCATGCAAAGAAGTAAAGCAGGACAAAAATGGAGATACAAGGTTTTTGCGAGACAACAACGCTAAGCCCTCTTTGTGATGAGATATCTCTTGTTTACAAATGTCACTATTTGTAGTTGTCTTAGAAATATTTTGCAAACTTTTAACCAGATTTTTAGATGAGTCAGTCAGTTACATTCAAATGAACTTTTGACTGCTGCTGTAGACATAGAGGTACATATGCAAAGCTAGATAACATTATTAATTTCAGAAGAAAGAGAATTACACAAGCTCTATACGTGTTTCTCTAATATATAGTGTGTCCATATACGAAATACAATATAACACTGC